ATCCAAATTCAAAAAATTTAAGGTGAATAATGCCAGATACCAGCCTATTCCCCCTTTTTGTTTTTGAAGAATTTCTTTTTTTTTTTTTTTTTTTTTTTTTTTTTTTTTTTTTTTTTTAGGTTTTTCGAGACAGGGTTTCCCTGTGTAGCTTTGCGCCTTTCCTGGAACTCACCTTGTAGCCCAGGCTGGCCTCGAACTCACCGAGATCCGCCTGCCTCTGCCTCCCGAGTGCTGGGATTAAAGGCGTGTGCCACCACCGCCCGAATTTCTTTAAGGGACTGATTCGCATGCTCCACAATGCCTTGGCCTTGAGGATTATAAGGGAGACCATGCGTTAACTGCATATCCATGAGCTGACAGAAGGAATTAAATTTCTGTCCTGTGTACGCCGGCCCATTATCAGTCTTTAATTGCTGAGGTTTTCCCCATGCTGCCCAGGCTTCCAGACAGTGGGAAATGACATTCAATGCTTTCTCCCCAGTCATAGGTGAGGCATGTATAATCCCTGAACAAGTATCCACAGAGACATGCACGTATTTGAGGCGCCCAAAGTCAGGGATATGTGTAACATCCATTTGCCAAACTTTTAAGGGACATAAACCACGGGGGTTAATTCCCAAACTAGGGGGATGATGAAAAATAACACATTGAGGACAATCCATGACTACTTGGTGTGCATCCGCATGGGAAAGGGAACATTTCAGGTTCCTCATGATTGATGGAAGGGAGAGTAAAGGCGAATCTGTCACTATCATCTTGAAATAAGGGAATGGAAAAGAAACAATCCTTTATATCCACGGCAATAATATGCCAGGAGCCTGGCAGAGCTGATAGAAGCAGTAGCCCTTGCTGCACTGGACCCATGACCTGCATCTGATTAATAGCCCTAAGGTTATGTAACAATCGCCACTTTCCAGATTTTTTTCTAATGACAAATATAGGTGTATTCCAAGGGGACACAGAGGGTCATATATGTCCAGCCTCAAGCTGTTCTTTTACTAGCTCTTCTGCTGCTGATAACTTTTCAGAGGAAAGTGGCCACTGAGGTACCCATACTGGGTCCTCTGTTTTCCAGGAAATGGGAATTCCTTCCTCAGTGGCCCCTATGAAAAACCCAATCCCTGTCTAGGTGGTCTACTCTGTGCCTGAACTGGATCTTTTCTGCCTTGGAGAAACTTCCCCAAACCAAACCTAGGATGACATCCCATCTTCATCATAATTTCCTGAGACTCCTTAGAATATTCATTACTCAATTTGAATCCCATAGATTGCATAAGATCCCTTCCCCAAAGGGACACTGGAAGTTCGAGGATGTAGGGTTGCATAACACCCGAATGGCCCCCTTCATCCTGCCACTGTAATTGTCCTGCACTAATATCTGGTGAATTGGTATATCCTAGCCCTTGTAGAGTTTGAGAGGAGACTTGCACTGGCCACCCACTGGGCCAGTCTTTACAGGCAATGATGCTCCGATCTGCACCAGTATCCAGGAGTCCCGTTATCTTGGTACCATTAATAGTTAATTGCAAGGTGGGTCTTTGATCTAAATCAAGGGATAGAAAAGTTAAATCTGTCCCTGTGGATCCGAAGCTTTTATTTCCTCTGTTTCGATCAGTGGCTGGATAGGACTCATGTAAACTGGGTAATAAAACTAGATGTGCAATCCTATCACCTGGTGAAATGGCAGTAATTCCTTTTGGAGACTCAACCATAATTTTCACGATCCCAGTATAATCAGGATCAATCACTCCTGGGTGTACTTTAAGAACTTTTATGGTGGTGGAGGATCTTCCTATCAATAAACCCACCATGCCCGGCTTCAAAGGGTCTTTAAAATCAGACTCCACTAATTGTACTCCCATCTGTGGAGTCAGTATGAGTCTGGTGGTGGCACAGAGGTCCAACCCTGCTGAGCCTGTAGTGGCTCTCCGCGGTTCCTCGGATGATGGAGGGTTGGCCACTGCTCTGGGTTCCCGCCTTGCTCCTGATTCTCCACTGCCCCATATATTTGCGGGCCCTGAGGCCAAGGGCCCCACTGTCCATTTTTTGAAAGATTGCCTGTTGTTATAGGCTGACCGTTTATGTCCTTGACTGACCTACACTCATTTGCCTAATGCTTCCCCTTTTTACACCTAGGACAAAGTCCAGGCTGTGTAGGGCGTTGACTCCTCCCTATTCCTTGGTTACCTTCTCCTTGAGGGCAGCTACATTTGAGATGGCCCATTTTTCCACACTGAAACCATGCCCCGGTGTTCCCTCCTTTCTTGTTACTAAGTTGCATAACTGCAGCCGCAAGACCTGCGTTAGTTAGAGGTCCCCCTAATTCTCTGCACACTTTCATCCATACTTCTAGACCTTTGTTCTTATAAGGGGTGATCACAGCCTTGCATTCTTTGGTACATTGTTCATAAACTAGTTGCTTTATAAGCGGCATCGCGGCATCTGGGTCACCAAAGATTCTGCCTGCAGCCTCGACCATGCGGGCCACAAAATCTGAAAAAGGTTCTATAGGTCCCTGAAGGATCTTAGTAAGGTTGCCACTCACTTCCCCTTTATTAGGTAGGGACTTCCATGCCCTTGTTGCTAGTTGATTTATCTGGTCATAAACCTGCTGTGGATATCCATTTTGTTGATTGGCAAATCGGCCTTGTCCCAGCAGCATGTCTACATCCCAAGTTGCTTGACCTCCACCTGCAGCCCTGTTAATCACAGCTTGTTCACTGGCAAATTCTATCAAAAATGCCTTCCAGTCTAAATACTGCCCTGCGCTTAGACATGCTCAAGCAAGATTCATCCAATCGGATGGAGTCAGGCAAAATCTGTGCAGAGCCTCCACTTGAGCAACAGTATATGAGGCTGTGATGCCATAAGTTCGGACAGATTCCGCTAGAGACTTGATGACCTTAAAATCCAAAGGTTCATGGTATCTCTGTTGAGTCTGGGCATTGAGAAACACTGGGCAAGCTAGCTGCATTTCAGTTCTAACCTGTCTCCAAACCTCCAGGTTAAAAGAATTCCCCATAGAGACAACTCTAGACATGGAGGCAGATTCCAGATATGGTGGAGGAGCTGAGGGAGCGGCTCCACACTCAGGCTCACATCCTTTAATTCTTTCTCTTTCTCCTTTATTTCTACCCCTTTTCTTTCTTATTCTCATGCTCTGCAAGGTTTCACATAATGACTCTACATCATCAGAATCAGGGGAAGAGATAGGGGACTCGGAACGCTCTAGGTCCGAAAGGTCAGGATATAACCTTGTTTTTTCTTCCCCCTTTTTTGTTTTACTTCTGGTAGATGCTGCTTTAGCAGACATGGCCTTTTCTGATCTTTCCTCCTGCAGCATTTCTAAGGCTGCCTGCCCATTCTCTACCACATCGCTGCAGTGCTGGTCTTTGAGACACCCTCTCACTAATTTCTAAACTGGTCTAACCCCATGTTTAAGTGTCCCTTGTTCTGCAGCGAAGTCTAGATCACGGCCCAACTTTTCCCAGGAAGCTACCGTGAGGCTTCTGGAAACTGCAAACCAGGGTGCCACGACATCACATTCCTCTAGAAATCTTTCTAAAGTACTCTTCTTAATCTCTAATTTCTTTGAAAGGAGCAGCTCGTTAAGAGCCAGAAAAATTGGGTGCGAAGAAGTTGCGCCCATGATACTAGCAGCACTTTTGCCTTCACCTGCTTTCACTTTCTTTAATTTTCCTGTCCGTTTTTGTTGCGGCTCTACGTTTTAATTTTCCCATCTGCTTTTGTTGTGGCTCTACTCTTTAATTTTCCCGTCTGCTTTTGTCGCGGCTCTACTTAATTTTCCCGCTTTTGTCGTGGATCCCCACCTTACCTGGGGACTTACCAGTGTACTGCCCTGACTGCGAAGAGTTCTGAGCCTTAAAGGGTCCCCATACGGGCCACCACTTGTCGCGTCCACCTCGACCAGCAAGGAAGATGCAATACCAGGCTCTTCTCCAAGCAGTTTATTCAGGAACCTTGAACAATCTTCTGACCCTGGGGAAAGCCATCTTCTCACTCCGGGGAAAGCCAGCCCACACCCTTTATAGTCACTGAGCAACCAACCCCGTAGTGCCACGTGGACAATGCCGATAGGGTCAGACATACGCAAGCAAGCCAGATTCCATGCCCAAGCCAAATAAGGAGTTGTTTATCCCAGAGAACACCTGCCATCGGGAAGGTGGAAGCCGGACGCCGGCACCATCTTTGAGGCGCGGCTGTGCATGGCTCTCTACACATGTTCATGTGGGTGCATGCACACAGGCCAGAGATGTACTTCAGGTATCCTTTTCAATGACTATCCACATTATTTATTTACTTATGCTATTAATTTTTATTTTTAAAAGTTATAATATAATTATATCATTTCTTGCTTCATTTTCCTCATTCCAACCCCTCCCATGTACACTCTCGCTCTTTCTCAAATTTATGGCCTCTATTCATTTAGTGGTTGTTTTACACACACACACACACACACACACACACACACACACACACACACACACACGTACAACTTACTCAGTCCATATAATGTTACCATATGTACATGGTCTCTCACTGAGCCTGGAGCTCATCCATTCAGCTAGGCTGGCTGACCAATGAGCGTCAGGGATCTGCCTGTTTCTGGCTCCTCTTCACCCACCCACCTGGTGCTGTCATTACAGGTACACAACATTGCACCTAGCTTTACATGTGATTTCTGGGGATCCAAACTCAGATCCTCATGATTGTGCCATAAGCATTTACCCATTGAGACATCTACCAAGCCCTTCACAGCTGGCATTTTTTATGTGAGTTCTTGACTGAACTCATATCTTTATGCTTGCAAGGCAAGCATTTTTACCCACTAAGACATTTCCCCATGCCCTGCCCTGGATTGTCTAAGGTAGATTTTACTGAACTTTGGCTCGCTGGTCTGAGAAAAAAAGGCCCCTTCCGATTAAAACATGCCCCAAAAACCCAGAACAGGAAACAAAAGCATTGGCAGGAAGAAACAGTGAATTTCAAAAAATACAAGTTAGAACAATGAACCCATTCTCTGTTATAGTTAATGAGATGCAGTTATAATTGAAAGGATAATTCTCAAAATGAAAGGTATTAGCCAATTCACAATGCACACACATGCACACATGTGCATGGGGAGACCAGAAGTCCATGTTGGATGTCTTCATCAATTGCTCTCCACTTACTTTTTTTTTTGACATATATATTTCTTATATTTATTCATCTACTTAAGTTTTTCACACAGGTCATTAATTTGAAGTATTTATGCTCACTTATAACATAAACAGTCATTCTTAATTTCAATGTATGAAGATTTGTGTAAGTCTGATTTTTTTCCTAAAAATATTATTACAAATAATAAAAATGTTTATTTAATACATTCATAAAAAATAATTTTTGCATTTCATTAACACCTCTCCATTTCTGATTTTGTCACACTTGCAAAGGTGATTTATTATGTCATTGTTTTCTGATTAAGAATTATTAACATTGAGCAAAATCAATCAATGGCAATTATGAGAGAAATAATTAGAAATAATCTACATATAGACTGTACTATTGTTACTCCATGTTTACAGAGCTCCTCATGCCTCTCCCTCTGGGGTGCTGGGATGAAAGGCTTGCCCCACCATGCCTAGTTTATACAATGTTACTTGTCTGCAAATGTTTTTAGGGCTGATCATTTAATACTGGATAATCAGTTGGTGTGTTCTTCCCAAGGGCAGACTATTTCTCCTGTGCTCAGCTTTCCTTAGCTGCTGTAGTTATTTGTGTAGGGTTGAGGCCTCTTGGGCTTCTGCAATAATCGTGTCATCCTTGTTCAGCTCATGTGTATGCAGTCATGTTGGTGAAACTTTGTGGGTGTAACTTGAACATTACTAGGAAATATAATCTCACAGTAAACTCCCTGCTTATCTGGCTTTTACAATGTTTCTGCAATGTTCCCTGATCCTTTGATATGGGAGTTGTATTGTAGATGTATCCAATGGGGCTGGGCTCCACAACTCTGCATTTTGATTGGTTATGGATTTCTGTAATGTTCTCTGTCTGTTTCAAAGAGAAGTTTCCTGGATAAAGGGTGAAGACTACACTTATCTATGAGTATAAAGATAAATTTTTAGAATGTAGTTCAGAATTATGTTGGTTTAGTAAAGTGGGCCATGACTTCCCTAGCTCTGGGTATTTGGCTAAGTTTCCAGTCCCAGACATGGACTCCCTCTTTTTGAGTGGGTCTTAAATCCAACTATGGAGCTGTTGGTTACTGCTAAGGTATTCTTCCCACTACTGCATTGTTAGATTTTTTAAATTAAATTTATTTTTGACAATTTCATAGTTATATACAATACATTCTTACCACATGCAGTTCCAGTCTCTTATCCCCTCCTCCACCCTTGTTGAGCTACTTTTCCTCTAAGGCCCCCTCCCACTTGGATATTTTTTTCTTTTTGTTTTGTGACTCACTGAATTTAATCAGGGACCCACTTTTACACAAACACATCCAAAAGAGCAGAGTCCTCCTGGCACAAATGTCTTTTAAAGAGTCTCATCTTTGATCTTTATTTGCTACTGATGGGTGTGTAAACTGATATGACCATTATGGAATTCAATATTAGGGATACTACAGAAGCCAGGAATGGAACTAACCATATGATCCAGCTATACTATTCATGGGTGTGTACCCAAAGGACTTGATATCTTGACACAGAGATATTTCATACCCATGTTCACTGCTGCTCTGTTCACCATACAGAATCATCTTAGGTGTCCATCAATAGGTGGACATGCACACAATGAAATTTTATTCAGCAACTGAGTTGCAGTAATCCATTCATGAGGGCAGAGTCCTTCTGGAAATCATCTCTTAGAGTCCCTCCTCTCAATCCTGTCACAATGACAATTAGTATTGTACTGCGAGTCCAGTGTGGGGCACAACCTGTTGTTCCAGCTGTTCTCGGGAGCTCAAGACCAGCCTGGGCATAGAGAAGACCCCATCTGAAAAAGAAAAGAAAAAGAAGGGGGTGTAGAAGAGGAGGGGAGGGAAGGGAAGGAAGAGATGAGAAGTGAAGCCATGAGAAAAAGAAAATAAAAAATAAATTCAGCACGAATTTGGGAGGGGACTTGTGAGTCATAACAGATCCCTGCCTCAAATTTTACCACAATAACAATTCCTGAGGAACCAAAGTTTCACAGATGAAACATAGAATCATAAAAATGCCAAGGATAATAAACCACAGTTGGATGTTTTCCTCACATAATAATTTGAAAGTGGGAAATACATTTCTAGAGGAATAAAAATGAAAGTCATGAAAAGTATAACTAAGCTCAACTTCATAAAAACATAAATAGATTCATAAACAGAAACATCGTAAATGAAGTAAAGATACACAAATGGGGTGAGGGGCAGGAGCAATGTGACCCATATGACAGAATACAGGGTCAATTCTTTGGGCTGCAGAGACAGCTCAGTAGTCAACAGCTTAGACTGCTCTTGCAGAAGACTTGGGTTTGATTCTCAGCATCCACATCCAGAGACTCACATCTAATCTGTGACTCCAGCTCAAGGGGATCTGATCCCTTCTTCTGGCCTTTGCAGGCACTATACTCATGAAGATGTCCTCTTGCTCCTAGAGACACAAGTAATTAAACAACAGCAACAAAAACCAAAACAACGACAACAGACCCAAACAAACAGGGCTGAAATGATGGTTAAAAGCAATTGGCTGCTCTTCCAGAGGACTTGGGTTTGACTTCCATTTACAACTATCTGTAACTCCAGTTCCAGGGAATCTGATGGCCTCCTCTAGCTTCTGAAAGCACCAGGTAGGTACATACATGGTACACAGACATACATACAAGGAAAACAAACAAAACACAAAACAAAAACCCCCTCAAAACCCATACACATAAAGTAATAAAATAATTTAAAAAGTAAGAAACAAATTTCTAATTTTACATTGAAAAAGAATCCCATTTCTTTTAATTTTTTTTTTGAGACATTGTTTCTCTGTGTAGTTTTGGTGCCTGTCCTGGATCTCACTCTGTAGATCAGGCTGGCCTTGAACTCACAGAGGTCCACCTGGCTCTGCCTCCCGGTGCTGTGATTAAAGGCATGCACCACTGCCGCCCAACTATCTCATTTCTTAATATTAAAAAGAACTTTAATTGAGGCGATAGCTCAGTAAACACCTTTCCATGCAAGCATAAGGGCTGAATGTGATCCCCAAAATCCACAGAAAAAGGATAGGTGTGGCTCTGTAACTCCAGAGTGGGGGAGAAGCAGAAACAGACAGATCTCCGGCTTGTGGGGCCAGCTAGTTTAACTTAACTGATGAGTACCAGGCCAGTGAGAGGCTCTGTCTCAAAAAAGCAAGGCTGGGGACCAGTGCGATGGCAGAGCAGGAAAGCGATTTGCTGCTAAGCCTGACAACCTGTGCTTGATCCCGGGACTCAGCAGGGTGGGCGGAGAGAACCGATCCCTGCAAGCTGTCCTCTGGCCTCCAACTGCATGGCATAAGCACACATGTACACAAATCAATTAAATAAACAAATAGTATAACAACAGTTTATTAAAACACACACATACACACCCAGCTCTTAAGGAATGACACCCTTTGGCCCCTACCCGACATGCTTACACATGAATACACACATACAACTTGTGCTAAGGATGTAGGCGGGCAATTAACTAGCACAGCAGAGGCCTTGGGCTCTGAGCTCAGCATGGGGCTGGAAAGCTCCCTTGTGTGTGTGTGGGTGGGATGGGGTGGGTGATCCTTGCATAAATATGGAAAAAGATAAAAACCAAAAAACACAAAAAGCCTTGGGGAGGTGAACGGAGATTACAGATTGGCTTTTTAAGCACAGAGGTGACAAAAGTGTAAATTAGAACAAGTTAATAAAGCCTCTGATATTAGAGATGTTTGAGAACAGAGGTGACAGTGTGTGGGAAACCCTTGGCATGCTTGTCAGAGTCATGCCTCCTCAGGCCTCTGGTAACTTCACTTGTAAACATTTAATCCAAGAGACATCCTCACTGGTTTGGAAACTTCTATGATAGATTATCCATTTGCTGGCACTTGGGTTAGAAGCAACATCGGGTTCATTAAGTGCAGCTCCTCTCAAGTGTGATATTATGCAGCCGTGAGAAAGGACAAGCAAGGCGGAAGGCTAGGGAGATGGCTCACTTGGTAAAAAGCTTGCTTGAAAAAGTGAGGACCTGAGTTTGGTACCCAGAACCTATGTTTTCAAAGCCAAGCACGAGGATGCTTGTCATCCTAGCACTGTAATACTGGGGACCGGGAGACAGGCACAGCCCTGGGGCTTCTGGGCTAGTCAGCCTGGCTTAATAAGCAACTATATCTTAAAACAACAAAACAAAAGCAAACCCCAGTTAGATGGCACCTGAGGAAGGACAGCTGAAGTTGACCTCTGATCTCCACAAACATGCACAAACCCACACACTCATGATCCCCCCTTTCCACACACATACAAGATGGCCAGGTGCAGTGGTATCTACTTGCATCTCCAGTAGTAGGGAGTCTGATGCAGGAAGATAGTGAGTCCAAGGCCATCCTGGCCTCCACAGCAAGACTATCTTAGACAAGCAAACCAAAGGAAGGTGGTAAGAAGTGCCAGCTGGGGCTATCATAAAAATCCTGGGAGCTGGGCATTTTCAATAATCACCTTAATGGCTACAAGGAAGAAAGAGAGAAAGAAAGAGAAACAACAACAACAACAACAACAACAACAACAACAACAACAAACCAACCTAAAACACTTAGAAATGTTTACTTCTAAGACTCCAAGTGTCACTGGAAATTTAGGGGGTTCTGGTGGAGTCACCACACATTACTGGGGAAATTGAGGTTCTTTCTTGGGCTTCTAGTCTTGTTAATAAAAGAATTTGAAAAGGACTCAGAAGAAAGCTCAATGACAATTTTATTAAAGCTTAAAATGCAGATCTTGTTTTGCCATGTTTGGTTGATATCCCTGGAGGCCTGCTCTTTTCTGAAGGGAAACAGAGGACCATTGGATGAGGGATGGAATGCTGGCCAAGTCCAGGAAGAGCAAGAGAGAAACCAATGCCAGCATGGAGGTCAGCCACACTGCAGATAAGCACCTCATGTCAGGGAGGGGGTGCTACAGAAAGAGTAAAGCCCAGAGTTTTAGGGAAAGCCTGCTAAGAAAAAAGATATGAAGGAAACGTTTTTTAGTAATTCAGGAAAGCAGGCCAGCTCAGGAGGCTGCAGGACCAGCTGTGTAGGAGACAGCAGAGTGCAGGGTTCTGGGCTGGACAAGCACATCATCTCACTGAGGGGATAACTAGTCCTTCTGTCTCTTTTGTGGGGTTTAAGGTGGATCTACCTTGTTTAGGGGTGTCCCTTAGCCAGGTGGCTGACCACCTAGAATGCTGGGTCTCTACCCAGGCCAGAGATTCTATTCTCTGGTCCAGAAGGAAATGGTTTTTCCTGGTGGGCCTTTAATACTATTCTAACACTGGGGAAGGCCTGTGTAGATTGCTCATTCAACCAAGTCCTTGTGCAAGCAAGACCTGAGTTTGAATCCCACAGTGGTGCTCATCTATAATTCTAGTGCTGGGAGTGGGGTTAAGGTCTTGGGGACTCTCTGACCAACCAGGTGTAGTGAGAGACTCAAGAAAGTGGAGAGCAATAGAGGAAGATGACCAATGTTAACATCCAGCATCCATATACTGATACACACACACACACACACACACACACACACACACACACACACACATGCATACACATGCACACACACATACACACACAAACATATACACATACACACATATATGTACACATACATGTACACACATATATGCACACATACAAACATATACATGTACACACATACATATACACATACACACATACAAACATAGACACATACACACACAGACATATACACACACACACAATACAAACATATACACACATACACACACATACAAATGCACATGAGTTCCTATAAATAGTAAGCTAAAATAGGCTCAGGGTTCTGAAAGAGTGAAAAATAGAATTATCATGTGTTAATAATTTTGATAGGATAATAATTTGAATGTTCTTCAAGAGCTCACTTGTTTTGTGAGGTAACGGCATAAGCCCAGTGCAGGAGGAGATGCGTTATGAGGGCCCTTATGGGTTAGTAGCTTAATGCACTACTGGATAGGTGAAAATCTCAGAAGGGTTAGAGCCTCTCTCTCCCTCTCTCCTCTCCTCTGAACTCAGCTACAAAATGGGGATTTTTAAGGACCCTTGTTGTGGGACATGACCTGGCCATAGCCCTTCCGGTCTTGGGCTGTGACCCCACCTAACCACTGAAGCAGGTGTGGGTCCTGGGCCGGCGGGAGGCCTTGCCATTACGAACCAGTTATCCAGCCCTGTGGTGCCATGTGCCAGCTGCCTCTGGGAAAATTGGACAGGTTTTCCCAGGAAGGATGAAGAGATGTGGATTCCTCAGCTTTCGCTCTGGGGAATGAGTAGGCTGAGGTGCAGTGGGGAAGAGGCAAGGAGTAAGACATAGAAGCAGGTTACAGGATCGCTAAAGTGGGGGGAAGGCAAGATTCTAAACCACCTGCCACAGAGGCGGAGATCCGAGTCAAACATCTATTCTCAGAGGTCCCCAGATGGTCAAACAAACACATACATGCTCAGATGCACAGAAATATACACTGATGGAAACACACATACACAAAAATGCCTACACAGATACATAGGTACACACCAACAAACACACACTCACAGAAACACACAGATACATAGAAACAGAGAAAGATATAAACAGGAACAGAAATGTACAGAAATACAGCAGACACACAAAAATAGAGATACAGAGAAACACACATACCAACTCAAACACACTTACAGAAATACACAGTCAGGCACACAGACAGGAACACACATACACATGCCCAGAGATAGACACATATGCACCCAGAAACACTCAGACACAACAGAGAAACACACAGTCACTTACCTAGTCTGCAGACAGATGTCCCAGGGACAGACACACCCTCACAATCACTCACAGTAGCACACAAGATCAGGTAGCATGCACACAACCAGGAGTTCATGCTCTTCTGGTGGTTCCCACAGCTGTCCCAACCTGCAGCAGTTTTCTGTGCACAAAGCCCTGTTCCAGGCTGCTTTGGCTCTGGGATGGATGGGGTTGGGAGTGGGCACTCTCCAGGGAAGCCAAAGATGTAGGAAAAGAGAACCAGGAAAGAGAAGACTGTTGGAGGAGGGGACAGGCAAGGTGGGTCTTTGACTGAAGTGTGTGAAAGGATCGAGAAAGGGAGGCAGAAGAAGCTTCTAGGCAGAGGCAACAGTCAGGGCATAATCTTTTCGATCTCCATTCTTCCTGTGCCAACCCCTACTCAGGCCAAGTGGGGACAGTGGTCCATCCCCTCTATGTATCTGCAGCCTTGTGCTTCAAGAACATCATGGCTATTTTCCTTTTCAAAGATGGGAATATTGGGTCCAGAGAGTCTGTGTCAGCATTCAAAGTCACACAGCATAAAAGATAACCAGCTGATCTTCAACAGAAATCCCTCTCGGGACAGAGAATCTCCCAGTTCCAGTAGAGAACAGGATGCTTGGCAAAGGTCATGCCAGGGAGGACAGGTATGGGAAAAGCTGGGCAATCAGCCTTTAGGCCCACTGGCAGCTAAGCCGGGCTTTAGCCATGCCCTTGTACTCCCATCCTTACAGAGCAGGGCCCTAGAGAAAGGCAGAAAGAGTGGGTGATGGAGCACATCAAGGCCAGGGAAGGGCCTGATGCAAAGGGTTAATCCTGCAAGCACATCTTTAGCCAGAATGCTCTAGTTTATAGGATTTTCCCAGTTGTTACCAGAACAGATTCTCAGAAAGCGGTGTGATGGTACATGTTTGCAATCTCAGCTTTTCCCAGACATGCATGTGGGTGGGGTAGGAGAATCACAAGTTGAAAATGATTTATTCTTTTATTATATTTATTTACTTATTATGTGTGCCATGATATGCATGTGTGTGTGTGGGGGGGGGGGTGTCAGAGGACAACTTGTATGAGTCCATTCTCTTTCTCTCATGCTGGTCCCAGCATTGAGCTCAGTTATTAGCTGGGCAGCAATCACCTTTATCCAATGAGACATCTCACTGGCCCTACTATTTTTTTTAAAGATGTGGTCTCATGTAGTTTAGTCTGGTCTTGAACTCACTGTAGTGCCCAGAAGATGATCTTGAACTCCTGATCTTCCTGATTCTACCTCCTCAGTGCCACTATGACAAGTGTAGGCCACTACAACTGGCCTGAAAATGAAATTTAAAAAAGATTCAGGGCCAAGCAGGAGTAGTGCCTGTCGTTCTGGTGCTAGGGATGTCTTTCTGTATGCTGTGAATGTGTTGCTCAGAGTGATTGATAAATAAAACCCTGATTGGCCAGTAGCCAGGCAGGAAGTATAGTGTAGGTGGGGTAAGGAGAGAGGAGAATTCTGGGAAGTGGAAGGCTGAGTGAGGAGACGCTGTCAGCTGCCGCCATGAGGAGCAAGGTGTAAAGTACTGGTAAGCCACGAGCCACGTGGCAAGGTATAGATTTATAGAAATGGGCTAATTTAAGATATAAGAACTAGATAGCAAGAAGCCTGAGCCACATGGCCATACAGTTCATAAATAATATAAGCATCTGTGTGTTTATTTGGGTCAGACAGCTGCAGGACTGGCGGGTGAGAGAGATTTGTCCTGACCGTGGGCCAGGCAGGATCAGGAGATAACCCCAGCAACATTCTGCACTTGGAAGGTAGAGGCAGAAGACTCCTGAGTTTGAGGCCAGCTTGGGCTAAATAGAGAAACTCTGTTTTGAGAAGAAAAAGAAAGAAAGAAAAAGAAAAAGGAAGAGAGTAAGAAAAGAAAATGACTAGGAGAGAGCAATGCTCTGGGTTCTATCCCTAGCAACACACACAAACACACACACACACACACACTCACACATACACACACATACTCATATACACACACATAAACATTCACACATGTGCACACATACTCACACACTCACACACACTCATACACACACATAAACACTCACACATGTGCATAAACACTCACACATGTCACACACACATAAACACTCACACATGTGCACACATACTCACACACTCACACACACTCATACACACACATAAACACTCACACATGTGCATAAACACTCACACATGTCACACACACATAAACACTCACACATGTGCACACATACTCACACACTCACACATACACACACACTCACACACACACTACCAGACATAGTGGTGCATACCTGTAATCTCAGCACAGCCTAGACTACATAGCTCCCCTCCATCAACAAAAGAAGAAAAAAAAAGGATCAAAAACTCGATGACTAAAATAACATATGGGTGGGGAGATGGCTCAGTGGCAAGAGCACTTGATGTATAAAGTATGAGGACCTGAGTTCGGATCTCCAGACCCAGTGTACGATGCCCACCTGTAATTCCAGTTTTGGAAGGTGGAGACGGGATCCCCAGAGCAAGCTAGCTAGCAAGACTAGCCACATTGGCCAACTCTGGGTTTGATTGACAGACTCTGACTCAATGAATAAGGTGGTAGAGGGATCAAAGGGATCCTCACATCAGCTTAGGGCTTACACACACACACACACACACACACATACATGCTCAGTCACTGACACACTGTAGCTAGAGTTTTCCTGCCTGGCTCACAGTCAGGACAAATCTCTGTCACCCGCCAGTCCCACAGCCGCTCAGACTCAACCAAGTAAACACAGAGACTTATATTGGTTACAAACTGTATGGCCGTGGCAGGCCTCTTGCTAACTGTTCTTATATCTTAAATTAATCCATTTCTATAAATCTATACCTTGCCACATGGCTCGTGGCTTACCGGCATCTTCACATGCTGTTTGTCATCGCGGCGGCTGGCAGTGTCTCTGACTCAGCCTTCCACTTCCCAGAATTATTCACCTCCTTGTCCCGCCTATACTTCCTCCTGCCTGACTACTGGCCAATCAGTGTTTTATTTACTAACCAATCAGAGCAACACATTTGCCATACAGAACATCCCACAGTAACACACAGTACATGCCCATATGTGCAACAAAGATGTGCACACACACATACAGACAAAGATAGAAAAAGGAAACAACACCAATTCTTACCGTGCTGGAGGGCAGTTTACTCACCACACTCAAGTCCAAGTATGTAGAAGAAGACACCACAGTTGGGGCTCGGAGTCTGGTCTGGGTTCAGGCATCACTGGGATGCAGGTTCATGCCTTCAAGCAACATTGTGAGGACCTTGTGGTGATCCCAGGCCCCAGGTAGTTCAGAGTCATCTCCTTTCTCAAGGCCCTTCATTTCATCCCATGTGTAATCCTGTTTGTCATAGGAAGCAACATAATTAGGGGCTGAAGAGATGAATCCGGTAGTAAAAGCACTTGCTGTCAAGTCTGATGACCTGAGTTTTAATCCCTGGAACCCACATGGTGGAAAGAAGGTCACAACTGACTCTTGCAAACTGCCTTCTGACACCTACATATAGGCTGCAGCACATAAGTGCCCCCACAAATAAGTAAATATAAAAAAGAAATTGAAGTATCATAGTTACAGACTTCAGAGGTCAGAATAATGTCAAATTGTCCTGGCTAATTTTATGTCAACTTGACACAAGCTAGAGTCATCAGAGGAAGGAGTTTCCATTGAGGAAATGCCTCTGTGAGATGAGGCTATAAGGCATTTTCTTAATTAGTGACTGATGGGGGAGGGCTCTGTAGATGTATCCAACCTTCTTATTAAATAAGAAACACAGAACCAATGCAAAGAAGAAAGCCAAGAGGTCAGAGCTAAGAGCTAAAACCTTACCCTTCCTCCTGCGGTGGTCCTACCTGTCCGAATCAGAGCTACCCCTGTGTTAAAGTCTTTATATAGAGTTCCTGTCCTGCCTTCTCATTGGTTGTAAACCCAACCACATGACCGCCTCCTCACAGCCTGTCTGTATAGGCCTCCAGGTTTTCCATGATTGGTATTAAGATTAAAGGCATGTGTATCCAATACTGGCTGTATCCCTGAACACACAGAGACTTACCCAGCTCTGCCTACCAAGTGCTGGAATTACAAGCGTACGCTACCACTGCCCTGCTTTCCTATGGCTTGCTAATAGCTCTGACCCTGGGCAACTTTACTTATTAACATACAAATAACATTTTAATACAAATAAAATATCACCATAGGGCTCAGCCCATTATGGGTGGGGCCATCCCTGGGCAGATAGTCCTGGGTTCTATAAGAAAGCAGGTTGAGCAAGCCATGAGGAGCCAGCCAGTAAGCAGCACTCCTCCATGGCTCCTGCCCTATTTGAATTCCTGTTGTGGCTTCCTTCAATGATGAACTACAATGTGGAAGTGTAAGTCAAATAAACCCTTTCCTCCTCAACTTGCTTTTTGGTCATGGTGTCTCATAGCAGCAATAGAAACCCTAACTACAACAGTGATAATTTTTGAGTGTCTATTATTGTGTTTAGCCCAGGATTCATGGGTCCAGGGTCCAGTCTCCAGGCCTGGCTGCAATGAGCCCAAGGTCTAGAGAAGGTCAATATGTGCCTACTTCAGCTCCTTAGTTGGAGACTCTAATGGTCAATCTCAATTACCAACTTGATGAGATCTAGACTCACGTGGCAGGGAGAGGCCTGTGGTTATACCTGAGTGTTTTCACTAGATTGAAGTGGGAAGACCTGTCCACTGTGGTGGCACTGCTCCCTCTCTGTGGATCCTGGAGTGTATAAAAAGAGCAAGATGAGCCGGCAGCGGTGACACACACCTTTAATCCCAGCACTTGGGAGGCAGAGGTAGGCGGATCTCTGTGAGTTCGAGGCCAGCCTGGTCTACAGAGTGAGATCCAGGACAGGCACTAAAACTACACAGAGAAACCCTGTCTGGGGGGTAAGGGGGGTGGCAGCGATGATCTAAGCACCCTCGTTCATCACTGTCTGTTTCTTGATTGCACACAGACTGTGACCAGACACCCCATCCTCCTGCCACTGTGACTTCCCCTCAATGTCAGACTGTATATCTTGGAACTGTGAACCAAAATAAACCCTTCCTTTCTAAAGTGGTTTTGTCAAGAGTGTTTTATTGTAGCAACAGAAAAGTAATTAAGATAGAGGGGAAGGGGGAGCAGTTCAGAGTTGCTTCCTGTGTCCTGTGCTTATCAGCTTCCTTAATCAGATGAACCTCACATGGATGGGAAGATCATAAAGGGTGTGAAAGTCTGTCTGTGAGTGTTGGGGTTGGGGGGCTGTAATGGGATGCAGCTCAGTGGGAGAGTGCTTTCCAATTGTGTAACAAGCCCTGGGAAACACACACACACACACACACACACACACACACACACACACACACACCCCAAAACATCTCTTAAGGTGTCTCACACCTATAATCCCAGAGTTTAGGAATTAGTGGAAGCATGAGGATCAGAAAGTCAAGGTCATCCTCAGGTACACAGGGATTTTGAGGCCAGCTTGAGATATAAGAGATCCCGTCTCAAAAATAAAAATAACAAAGAACTGAAAAACAAAAAACAATAATCAAAGAAAAGTCTGTAAGAAGAGAAAACATTGGCTAGCTCAGTCGGTAGAACATGAGACTCTTAATCTCAGGGTCGTGGGTTTGAGCCCTACGTTGGGCACCAAATGTAGATGTAACCAACCATCTTATTAAATAAGAAACACAGAACTAATGCAAAGAAGAAAGCCAAGAGGTCAGAGCTAAGAGCTAAAACCTTACCCTTCCTCCTGCGGTGGTCCTACCTCTCCGAACCAGAGCTACTTCCTGTGTTAAAGTATAAAGACTTTCTGTTCTGCCTTCTCATTGGTTGTAAACCCAACCACATGACCGCCTCGTCACTGCCTGTCTGTATAGACCTCCAGGTCTTCTATGGTTGATATTGAGATTAAAGGCATGTGTATCCAATACTGGCTGTATCCCTGAACACACAGAGACTTACCCAGCTCTGCCTACCAAGTGCTGGAATTACAAGCGTACGCCACCACCGCCCTGCTTTCCTATGGCTTGCTAATAGCTCTGACCCCCGGGCAACTTTATTTATTAACATACAAATAACATTTTAGTACAAAATAAAATATCACCATATTTCCCCTTTTCTATTTTAATAAAAAGAAAAAAGGAAAAAGCTTATAACTAACATAAGAAAAACTATATACAAAAGTACAATAACTATATACAATATATACAAGTAATAAATACCTAAACAATGTCTAGTCCATTTGTATTTGACAAATTCAGAGAAAATAATTCCATTATCTCTCCTATTTTGGTAAGTCCAAAATGTATCTAATTCACTTTCTATCCTAATTAATCTTCAGCTATAACTAACTAATCTTCAACTCCCTCAGAGACCCAAGAAGGAAATAATATTAGCTAACAAAAATAAAATCAGGAAGTACATGCAAGCAACTTCCAAAAAATTGTGAGTTGACAGAAACAGTCAGCTGCCTGGACAGTCATCTGAGGTTTCTCCACAGTGTTGGGGCATCATCTTCAGCCTATATGCTTAGTGTATCTGACAGACTCATTTGTGAAGTAGGATGTACACAAGGTCAACAGTTCAACCTCACATTGGGTGAGAGCAGTCTATATAACAGAAGCACCTGAATTCCACTAGTGTCATGTCATGATTCAGGATTTTAAATTCTAGAAATTGTTGATGTTTTTTGAATTCAGCTGTCCATTCTTCTTGGCTATGTGTGTATGTGGCTTCATCTCAGCATCCCGTTCTTCTCCACATCCCTCTATTAAATGCCATTCTACTATTGAGAGGCGTGAGCTTAGTTACTCTTCAAGAATAACTGTTTCAGCTGCTGTTCCATTGCACATCATAAGCCATCGGCCCACTGCCTGTTCAGCTGCCTTCGAAGAAAAGGGCACTGTACCTTTTCCGGATTGCGAAGGCCACTTCAGGGATGGTGCCATATTGTCCTGGCCTCAGAAGATGCCTTTTGATAAAGCCATAACCACACTTGCTTTTACAAGAATCAGTAGTCCTTTGTTTCGTGTCCTGTCTGTCCTGTTTGTCAGCAGTTGATTTGAGGATACTTTGTTGTCCAGTGGCTAACTTTTGCCACAATGAAAGTTAACTCCAATTGCAGTTTTTTCAATGTCCATATTTTCTCTGAAGTAGATTGGTACTGCCAGGAGCCGACATGTCTCATAGTCATAACAAAAAAGAAAAATTTTCTAAGTTATTAAAATATTTTAAATGCCATATTCTGTAGATCTCTGAAGGGTTTGAAGATGACCTGTCTATCTAAAATATATCTGCTCAATATTGAAAACATACCTAATATGACTACAAGTTCTATTATAATGTCTAACTACTAACTTTCATTTCTTTATATCCTAATAGTTGGTAATAACACCATTCAAGGTTCAGAAAATTGCATTACATTGTTAAATGAACGGTATAAGTACAATTAGAAATATACATATAGCATTTTCTAACAGAGCCTCAGTCTCCCAGGCTTGAGGCCCAGGGTTCACTAGGGTTCCCTTCCCTGATAATATACATTGTACTCACCTGTAGCTAGAGTTTTCCTGCCTGGCCCACAGCCGCTCAGACCCAACCAAGTAAACACAGAGACTTATATTGCTTACAAACTGTATGGCTGTGGCAAGCTTCTTGCTAACTGTTCTTATAGCTTAAATTAATCCATTTCTATAAATCTATACCTTGCCACGTGGCTCGTGGCTTACCGGCATCTTCACATGCTGTTTGTCATCATGGTGGCTGGCAGTGTCTCTGACTCAGCCTTGCATTTCCCAGCTTTATTCTCCTCCTTGTCCTGCCTGTACTTCCTCCTGCCTGACTACTGGCCAATCAGTGTTTTATTTACCAACCAATCAGAGCAACACATTTGCCACACAGAACATCCCACAGCACTCACCAGTTTAGAAATGTCCTATTTTCTCATGCGGGCCATGCCTTGGCTTCCCCTGTCCCCCTAACCCCTGTCTATATTGTTTCTAAATCGTTCAAGTGTACCATCTCCCTTCTATTGACCGCTCCAGGGTCAGGCCTTCCAGACTGTCCACCTCCCATATCGTCCACACCTCCACCTTGCTCCTCCCACACAACCCAGGTCCAAAATGGGTTTCACCTTTACCCAGAGAGCCTTGGGAGACTTTTGTGGACTCTATACTGCTGTCCCCTGTTACTACTTTTAATTACATTTAAATTTATTTATTTTGTGCTCACATGTATATGTGTGGATGTACATATGGAAGTAAAAAGAAAACTTGTGGGAGTTGGTTCTCTTATTCCACCAGGTAGGTCCTGGGGATTGAACTCAGGCTTGCTGGCAGACATCTTGCCAGCCTTGACGCTCCTTTTAGTCCTTCCATTTGCTCAGCTCCAAAAAGCCAGGAGCAGCCTCTTCCAAGGACACCTAACTGCTCTCAGGTTGGGGATCAGGTGCAAACTTCAGAGGGACAGGAAGAGAATAAAAGATAAATATCACCCCCCCCCCAACTTAGTGGTGCACACCTGTAATCCCAGCATGCAGGAGGCAGAGGTAGGAAGATTGCTGAGTTTGAGGCTAGGAGGGGCTAAACAGAAATACCTTGTCTCAAAAATGCAAGGAGAAAAAAAAAAACATGAATAGCAGGTGGTACACTCAGGGATGGGAACCCTCTGAGGAAGGGACCAAAAACTGGATTCCCAGTGACAGTTTGTCTTGACCAGGAAGATCTCAATTCCCTGTAGTGGGCCTTGGGTCTGCCTGGGACCTACAGAAAACTGGCTTTTTACTTTATGTTTTTTGAGTGAGGGCTTCCTGTAGCTCAGATTTGCTTCCCTGCCTTCTTGAGTGCTGAGATCTGAGGTCTACATTATCACCCTTGGTTCATGTGGTCCTGGGGATCACACCCAGAGATTGCTATATGCTAGACAAGCAGTCTATCAACTGAGTTATGCCTCCAACCCCAGTTCTCACAGATAGGTTTGATGTCTTCATTTTACATTTTCTTTTTCAAAGATGACAAGCTGTTAGAAGCCTCTTCCCTTCTACTGGCAACTGTTTGCCCTAGAATTGTCTTTCCTTTGATTGTACTAGGCAAGGAGAGGTCCAGTCTCCTTCTGCATTGCCCTGGGTCAACAGCTGTCACCCACACTGACCTGTTTGTACCACAGCTTCATCGCCTATGTCTTGCCTGAACCTTGCACCCCACAAAACTACAGCTGACATATTCATGTGATCCTCTTTCTCCCCATCAATCCTGTGGTCAATACTTCAGTATGCCTAGGCCCATGATCCTCTAGGTTGGTCTGACTCCAACTACTCAAGTATTAGGGTGTTGAGCCCTGCAGAAGGATCCAAGCCCCTTTTGCAGAACCTAGCAGTGCATCTGAAAAACGGGGTGTAGGCAGAAGAGCAAGCTAGAGCATTTCAAAGAAGAGATCTAGGACTGGGAAGGAGGGACCAGAAGTGGACCCGATGAAGTAGTAGCCTGAGAGAGCGCCCAGCAGGCGCTGCTGGGTTAAAAGTTCAGTGATAACATGCTGCAGAAACCAACAGCTTGGCTGGAGAAAGGCCAGGTGCTCAGAAGGGCCGGAGCTGGGGGCGGGGCCTGACAAAGCCGGGCTGGGGCAGGGGGACCAGGCCTAGGAAGTGAGAGGAAAAGCCTGAAAGTGGGGATTGGAGCGAGGCGTGGCAGAACAGGGTAGAGGTCTGTCTGGAGTTGGGGGCGGGTCCTGGCGGCGTGGGGATGGGGGCTGCGGGCGGGGCTTGGAAGCTCTGGGCAGCCGGTCATAGACTGGGGCGGAGCCTGGCTTCTCAAGGCAGGGTCGGCTGGAGGCGGGGTCTCATGGTGCAGGGCTAGGGGGCTGAGGGCGGGGTCTGGCGGCGGCCGAGGACTGTGGGGCGGGATCTAGGGAGGGGCCTGGTGGTGCGGGGGCGAGGCCTGGAAGCGGGTTGGGCAGTTTAAGATTCAGGGGTCTTGGACTGAGCGGTTCGCGCGCACCCGGCCAGAGCTCACTGAAGCCACGCCCCTCCCCCGCCCAGACCACGCCCAAGCCCCCATCAAACTCCTCCCGGAGGTCCCCTCCCGCTTGATTTCCTCCCCCGTGGGTGGAGGCCCTGAGGAGAGTAGCGTCCCTCAGTCCAGCGCCGTCAGCCGCGTGTCTACTGCATCTTCGGGTTCGCTGATCTCCACCCCGCCTGGGCCTGCACCCCCAGGTAAGCGAATGGCCCTCTCTGGGGGCGCCGCCCTCTAGAAGCAACCCTCGCGACGATCTCCAGTCTCCCCTCCCGGGTCAAGACCAGCTAGGGTTGGCCCCAAGATAGGGTCAATGAGCTCCCCATCATTTCACTCACAAGGTACTTCTCTGGGTTTCCCAGCTGGTCGGGGCTCGGGCTGCCTTCCCCAGTGAGCTCTGGGTCCCCCGAGAACGAAGGTGAAGGCGGATGTGACTGGAAAACGCGTGGGAGCGAATAGGGGCTATCGTGATCCCGTGACGCGGGGAATCCGGATGTATGAACGGGCACTGCGTCACAGGAGTGTCTGTCACCAGAGAATCGGTGCAGAGCGCCTGCTGGGTGCCACAGACCGGCGATGGCCACAGACACTTTAGGGCCCTGTCTTGACCGGCCTCTGAGAAACAATGTCTTTAACAGGATTGCAACGTTTCAGCTGGTGCCAGGAGCGTGTAGAGCACACATCCAAATACTGGTGATAGGGGGTTACAGTGTTGGGAGGGAGCCCAGGGTGTCTGAGGGAAAGAGCCAATCTGTCATGATGGCACCTGCTATGGAGAGCTTTCTGGGCCCAGAAAACAAAATCCTGGGGAAAGGCCCAGGTTGGCGTGTTTGCAGACCAGAAAAGAGGCTGGCGGATCCGAAGTGTATACAAGGAAGAAAGGAGGTAGGGAGTGGTAGACAAGGGCTTAGAAGACAGTGAGGAGCCCACAGTTTCATTCTCAGGACTGGGTACGAGGGATGCTTAAGCCAGCAAGTAACAGCTGTCTGATGGTGTCTTGAGAGGAGGATCCTGCAGCCAGTATGTGGGGGAAGGTTGAAAAGACTCTCGGGCAGAGGCAGCTGGCTGGACCCCTGATGGAAGATGTGTAAAGTGATAAGAAGTTAGAAATTCTCTATTTACTCCCGGAAGAATTGTGTTCATGCATGTCTGGAAGTGGGACACGAGGCAAGGCCTGTGTGGAGATGGACTTGGGCTCTGGGGGTATGGAAGGGTCTTTATTGTTTTTTCTTTAGGACTAGGTGGAATCTAGGGTCTCATGCTAGGGGAGCACTCCACCACTGAAACGCTTTGGTTGCTTCTTTCCTTTATGTATGTATGCTCACATGTGGTGTACATGTGTGTGCATGCATGTGTGTGTGTGAGCTCAAGTGTGTGGAGGCCAGAGGTTGACCGATAATGCCTTTCTCAATCACTCTCCACCTTACTTTCTGAGACAGGGTCTGTTTTGGCAAGCCACCTGCCTCTCCCCCGCCCCATGCACACTCCCCACCGAAGTTACAGGCACATATCACGGTGCCCAGTTTTTACAGGGTGTGGCGATCTGAACGCAGGTTCTCATGCTTGCACAGAACTTTACCACTGAGCAACCATCCACCCAGCCCTTAGGTTTTATTTTGGGACAAGAGTCTCACTAATTCATTTATGTTGGCCTTGAACTCGTTCTGTAAGTCTGGCAGGCCTTGAACTTTCAGTCCTCCCACCTTAAAGAAGAGTGTGGAGGTAAGGGGAGGCTCTTAGGACTCAGCCTGGCTTGCAAAACCTATGAGCTGCCTGGGATATGGGGAGACAGGGATCCCTAAGACTGCAGTCTGAGCCCAGCCAGGGTCCTAACACCAGTGTGGCCTCCACTGGGGTGACCCGGACCCATTATTTGGATGAAGTTGCCTTGGAAGCCCCCTAGCCTTACAGCTGCCCCCCACCCCCGCCCCCCAGCCATTGATGCTGTTTGGGTGGAGTTCCCAGAGTATCACTCAGCCTGCCTGAGGCCTTCCCTGAAGTTCAGCAAGGTTGAGGGAATATTGGGGATCTTCTCTGCCTCCCTTCTCACATTCCCAAAGGGAATTGTTTCCAGGAATCAAGGAGAGAAGAGGCAATAGATATAAACTGGGAGCTTGTGGATGCAGGAAAGAGTTCTGAGTTACCGTTTGCCCATTTGGAAAATGGGTCTGTAGTATCTTTCCCTGAGAGTGTTAGTGAGTCCTCAGCTGGGGATATGCCTGACAAATCTTAGTGCCCTTTACACTCCTGACGGCCTGGGGGTGGCCTCCATGCTCCACTCGGAGATAAAGCAGAATAATATCCACCTCCAAACCCAAGGCCATTGGCTGTGGGCGGGGGAAGCATTTAGTTGGCACAGTGCCTGGGAGCCAGTGAACATTTGGTGAAGGAGCCTCGGACTTACTAAAGATGACCAGGAGCATGAGTAAAGATCTCATCCTCCCACTCCTGGGGTGACACAAGAAATCATTGCAGTGGGGATGCTCCTCTGTGACTTGGGTGCCCCAGGTTGCCTCATTCTACTGTCTGGGCTTGCACCTACCTCCTGTTTGAGTGCTGCAACCCTCAGATTAGTGGGTTTGCTTCATTTTTCCCAGCTGTAAAATGGGAATGACACCATTCAAACACCCATATAGTTAAAGAACTGAGGACTATGCCTGGCTAGTAATCAGTGCCTGATGAAATCAGTCCGTTATATTGCAGAGTTAATGCCTCAGGGCAGAACTGAGTACAGTGACATGGCTTGGCCCAGGGAGAGTCAGAGAAGGCATCCTGGGTGGGTGACAGTGATTTAGCTAAAGATAGATAGCTGTGTTCATTGGGCAGAGAAACAGTATTCCAAACCAAAGGACCAGCATGTACAAGTCTCTAAGCACACTGCTAGGTGCTTGGAGGAGTAATTAGCAGAGATATGAAAGAACACTGAGATCCTTGGGGGCTGGAGAGATTGATCGTTGGTAAGAGCACTTGTTCTTGCTTGCAGAGGACCTGAGCTCAGATCCCAGCATCCCCCATCAGGTGGCTTACAACCACCTGATGTAACAAGTATGGGAATTTGATGCTCTCTTCTGCCCTCTTCAGGCACTGCAATCATGTTCTTGTGGCTCGCTCTCTCTCTCTCTCTCTCTCTCTCTCTCTCTCTCTCTCAATTTAAAAACAAACAAACAAAATCCTTGATGTCTATAGGATAGCAGGATGGCTAGGCCTCAACAGGGAATTTAGAGGCTATTCTGACCCCAGAGAACAAACTCCTGGGTGTGTATGGTGCTTATGAGTGCAGGAGCCAGGAGACCAGAATAGAGGTGACTAATCTGGTTCAGGTGATGGGACTGTATCAAATGGAGGTTCGGGTGGGTGAGAATTCAGTGGATCTTGGATGGACTAGATGGGCTGGGGTAGCCATTGATGTGTGTGGCTGGCATGAGGGGATCAGGGTTATATTCAAGTCAGCATCTGTTTCTGGTACTTGCCTCTTGTCATACCTCCGATTCTGAGCTGGTGGAGGAATGACATACGGCAGGCTTTGGAGGAACAAGATGGGAGCTGGCTGGAAGACAGGGCAGGGAGTTGGTGGGGAGCCAAGAGCCAAGGAAGGCTGTCCAGCAATATGGTGAGCCATTGGGTAAAGGCCTTTTGCTGCTAAGCCTGATGACCTGAGGTTGATCTATAGAATTTATGTGGTAGAAGGAGAGAACAACTCTTGCAAGTTGTCCTCTGACCTTCATACTATGGCACTCATGTACCCATACCCACACACACTCCCTTATGAATAATAAAAATTTGAAAAAAAAAATACAAGGAAGGCTAGGTGGTGTCTGGAGACCCAGGTCAAGGCAGAACTCTTGCCTAGCATGTGTAAGGTCCTGGATAACGTCCCCAGCATTACAAAATCAACATTTAAATTAAAAAATAAATAAAAAACTGTCTTTGCATGCCCCACTTGGGTAATTCATGGGCAGGAATCTTCCTCCCATATGTACCTATCCTTCCCCTCCTCAGTCCTTTTACAGCATTTTTACTTTATTCATAGTGAGTCTCTCTCTCTCTCTCTCTCTTTCTCCCTCTCTCTCTCTCTCTCTCTCTCTCTCCCTCCCTCCCTCTCTGTCTCTCTCTCTCTCTCTCTCTCTCTCTCTCTCTCTCTCTCTCTCTCTCTCTCTCTCTCTCTCTGTAACTTGTAGGAGTCAGTTTTTACTTCTTCTACCATGTGGGTCCCAGGGACTGAATTGGGTCAAGTTTGGTGTCAAGTACCTTTACCTGAGAAGCGGTCCTCCTGCCTCCTTCAGACCTTCTCTAGGTCCTCTTTGGTCCCTTTTTAATAGCCATCTCAGACTCAGAGTGGCTGCTCCTGTCAAAGGAACATAAAGAAGCCTTTCTCCTCCTCAGTCTGGACTCTGTATCTTTCTTAGTGTGATGCTACCACCAGAGTGGCTAGCATTCAGCTCCTTTTGGGCTCCTGAAGCCATAGTTTTGGTCCAAGGTTCCATGACTGTCTAAAAAGGGATTTTTCTCTGCCAACCACATCCTGGTGTCTCGATTTGCCCTGTTTTTGGCTTTATCTCCCTTCCATCACTGTTTGTATGATTTGTATCCAATGCTGTATTGGGTGTCATTGGGAAACCTGTGTTCTTGGGGGGAAGGGACAGGAAAAAGGATGAGGTCTAAAGGATGTGGAGGCAGCCATATAATCATGTGGATGAAGAGCATTCTAGGCAGAAGGACCAGCAGGTGTAAAGGCCCTGAGGCCACCACAAGCTTGGTTCATGCTAGAGGCACAGCAAGGAGGTTGGTGTGACTGAAACAGAGTGAGTGAGAAAGTGAGTACTAAAAGGATCAGACAAAGAGACTCAAGGTCCTCAAGGACCTGAAGACTAACACAGGAGACCCCTGGAAGGTCCTTACCCCAGAAAGGATGTGTGGTTGGAACTTTTTGCTTTGTAATTCTGTTCTGTGTGTGTGTTGATGAACCCTAAAAAAAGGAAGACAGGACTACGCCTTTTCCCCCTACCAGGGCAAGACATCTTCTCTTTGTACATGATGAGGCTACCCACAGGAACTTCCTAGAGGGGTCCAGATTTCCCTTTTGCCCAGGGGTAGGGAGAAGGAATTAGCCAGGGGAAAAACTCTATTGGTATGGAGGTAGGGGTTGATAAAGGCCAGGCAATACTTAGAGCAGGGTGGCAGGTTGCAGGAGCCTGAGATACAAAGATGCTGAGCCTGGAGGAGAAACCACAGAAGCCAGGCTTCTGAGGATGGAGCAGCTACTGGACAGTGGTTACTCTCCCTCCAGGTGGTGGAGATTAAATTTGTTCCCCCTCCCTGTACCTCATGTGCGCAAGAGCTGGTGAGCGGCTCTGGTCACCTTCACCACTCCTACCGCAGACTGAGGCGTTCATCTGCCCTGGCTTTCCCAGTAGCTGGGGGGTAAAAAAACCCTAAGATCCAAAATTAATTAATTTTGAGGTAGAATCTCACTATGTAGCCCTGGCTGGCCTGGAACTCTC